ACAACATCCGGTTCAAAGGTCATCACCTTAAGACATAGCCATATCAATACATGACACAACTGTTATGTCTTTTTTTTGTTTAGTAATTCCATAATTGGTTCTGCAAAGGGTTAGCTGCTTGTCATTTGAGTTGTATTCTCAGAGGTCTGGGTCTGTGTCCCAGAATTTTGAGTTTATTTTGTATTTTTGATTTCTTATGTTATATTGGAAAAATGTTAAGTTCTTGTGTTGTTATTTTTAGTTTGGGATTAGTTGAGTTTTAGTCTAGTTTATGTTTCACCTATGCCTCCTTATTTATGAGACACATGCAAAGTCAATCTTTGTAACAGGTTTGCAGACTTAATCACGTGTCTATGGGTACAACGTCACGTTGAACAGCAGGAATGCTTTTGTTTCTCTAACGTCAATAACAGTGTTCACATGCACATTTTCAAAACAATCATAGGAGATACTGGGTGCAGCTGTAGCTCACTGACCAGCCTTTAAGACCATTTAACAATTTAACTGAATGTTTTTGTTTTTTTCAGATAACATTCAAGACTCTGACACCAAAGACAAAAGAAGCTCAGTAAAAGCAGCTGGAAATGAAATCCAGTGTGATTCCGACATGACAGACACTGGTGTCTTTTTGTGGACAGCTTCAGTTTGTTTCAAAGTTCAGTATACACAATAATTGTTCCAAGATATTTGTAAGACTGAACATATTTCACTGTCTGAGTCTTATTTTTGTGACATCTTGTTTACGAGTTACATTTTATAAGCCAGTTCATTTGTGTTAGAAATGTTTAGTTGAATTCAGTGCTCATCACACCATCTAACACTGGGTTGGTCTCATTGTCCTGGAGCTGAATGGCAATAACAAAGTCATCTGCATACTTTATAATGGCCCACTGCTCTGCTCTGACACTTATTTGTGTACAGGATAAAAAAGTATGAGAGCATAGATCCTTGTAGGGAGCTGTTGATGATCAAACTTGATCGGACATGAGTCCATTTATCCAGACTGTTTGAGTCATCTTAGGTAAAAGTCGAGAGTCCAGAACACCACATTGTTCTTCGTGTCAGATTGTCCTTTAAAAAAATAAATAAATTTTTTTAGTTTCTATTGATGATCTTGCAGAAATAATTTACATTAGGAGCAGTAGGACACCCCTGGAAAACGAAACCAACATTTAAATGCATAGTATTTGTCCGTACACAATTTAGCTAAAGATTGGAGGCAAACATTTATGACAAATAACTTCAATTCCTCAAAGTTTTAGCACGATGTAAGTGGTAGCTCCGGAGTGTATTTCCCTAATTGTTTTTTTTTTAGAATAGAATTTTTATTTGGAATATTTGGTTGTTTTAAATAGTAAGCAAAGAAAAAGAAAACAAACAAACAAAAGAAACCAACAAACTGAACAGTTGGACAAGTGGAAACCCAATCTTGATGGAATTTCCACCTTAGACTTGTTTTACTAGGTAAGATAAGTTATTTAGACAAAATAGCTTCTTAACTCTTTAATTGTACTGGGCCCATTTGAATATAGTTTATTAAATTTATCTCTTTGAAGCTCAATATGCGGCTGGTTTTTGTTGAAGGATGAAGAAAAATCAACAAATAATAATTGAATACAAGTTTTTCCATAAGAGCTCTGTGGCACCCTACCCTCCACCATGTGGTGTACAAACTGCAGGGATTCCAAAAAATTTGCAATGGAATTTACACATGCTATAAAAATTTTTGCATGTAGTAATTAGTAGATTTAAGAAAAAATGTATTTTAGGCACCAAAATTCAATTTTAAATATGACCTGTTTCATCGTGTCTAATAAGCTTCATGCAGTTAAGCACCAGCATTCACTACCGAAACTAAAACTATGACTGAAACACAGACTTTATCTCTTCTAAAATATAATACAGTTATCTGCATAAATATTTGGATGGAGAAAACTTTATTCTAATACTGATTCTGTACATTACTGCAAAGAAACAGCTCAAATGCAGTTGAAGTGCAGATTTAAGCTCTGATTTGTATATGGGGATGTTCATTTGTATCTTGTTTGTGCCAAGTTCAAGTTCAAATTTTATTCGCCACATGCAGGTTGCCCTGTAGTGGAATGAACCCGACCCCCGACCTTACACACACGACACAGGCATCACATGGGGATACAAGTCAGAGAACGGTTACATTACAGAAAACCACTGAAATGTACACTACAATGGGAAAGTACAAGAGGAAAAAAAGAGACCTCTACTCATGCTGGGCTATAGGAGGACAGCATGAGAACAGGAAACAAAAAAACTCCTCTGCACAGAAAGCACATAAATGTCCACAGTACAACATTATGGAGCACGTGACCAGCAACAGGGTTGGGTAGGGGTGAGGAGTATCCAGCAACACAGCAGCCATCCTGCCACTGCGCGTCTCTCCAGCGCGGGCCAGACCCACCGTGTTCTCCAGGAGAGAACAAGCATCGAAGGCGTTTGGAGGGGGGGGGAGTGAGTGCTTATCAGTATAAGTGTATGTGTGTGCGTGTCCATAGTTCAGCTGAGACAGTGTTCTTCGCCCTACCAGGCTAAGTAAACAGTCTGCCAGCCAACCCAGGTGGCCTTGCATGGAGTGAGAAGAACAGTCTAAACACAGTTGTTATCAGGGCGCCGAAGGGATAGCCGCATTATGATGGTGGTTTTGCGTTTATCCCAGTTCTCAAAGCTCCACATCAAAGAGGATAATTTCATGTGCCGGCACAGTGGTACTTAACAAGGTCATGTAATGGTCAATAAAATACTAATAAAGAACATTAAATTTGTGTGTTTCTGTGGATTGTACAGTTGAAAGCAGATTGGTTTTACACAGCACCTGAGCTTCCTGCTTTCCTTCTCTTTAAAACTAATTGCATAAACAAAAGCACTACATTTTGTTGATGACAAAAAAGGTACACAACATTTTTTTTTTACTATACAAAATGGTATATCTTATTACCAAATGAAGACAGCAAAAGCCGAATTCCGAATTCTGTCTTGCCCAAAGACAGTCCCTAGGTTGCTCTCCGATGGGTCCATAAGAGTGTTAACGTGTGTGAATGCTAGATAGAAAGCACTTGCATAAAAAAAGTGAATGGATCAAAAAGGCTTTGAGTGTTATTATTCTCATTGCTTATTGCAACTTTAGTCCTTGACTCTCCTGTCAATTGTCAATGAAGTGAAATTTCACTGAGCAGTTGTTTCTCGGAATGAGTTTGTGATGTTTTATGGAAAAGCTACGCGTCACATCATTTAAATGTGTTTGTTTATGGCTTCAACTTGAGATGGTCAAATGTTTTTCGCACTTTGTTAGATACTATTATTTATCTAAAGGAAATATACATTGCCTAGATATTTTAAAAAAAAAGGAAATCAGGATCTTCTTTTTTGTTTACTACTACAATGATCAGTATTCTCATGGACAGGGTGGTATGTCAGCGGAGTGGTACCTGTGTAACTGAACTCTGACTTAAACAGTAAAGGCTTGCAAACTCAAATCATCATTTATTTATTTTAATGTAAGAGAGGAAACATAACAGGCAAGTACAGTTGTATACAGTATAGTATAAAAAAAGAGTCAATCTAAAAAGAGTTGGGAGATCAACTCTTTTTAGAGTGCAGTACAAACATCAAGAAGCTGCTGCTGCGATACATGGACATACACAAAGGTAATTTTCTGAATTAAAATTCAGATTACAATATAGGCAGTTTTTTATTACCCAACTTCAATAGAATGGCAAATAAAACAGAATATTTCATTGGTTTGCATTAGAGATCAAAATGTAAAGATTGTCAGGGTCATAGGGGGGGCTGGAGCCTATCTGAGCTATCATATGGTGAAAGGAAGGGTAGACCATTGCCAGATCGCCAGACTGTTGTTGAGCCAAATTAAAAAAGAAACCATTAACATGATGAATAATAATAATAATGGTGTACTCTTTCGTTTCAGTATTTATCTCAATTAATTTAAATTTTAATAAACAGTTGCTCCCAGGAATAAGCTCGGGGTACTTCACAGAGAAAGAAGCTATTATGTTGTCTAAAATTGTTTGTATCCAGTCTGTATGTGGGATTTCATATAGTACCTTTTATAAGATACTGTACTTCATAAATCCAATTTTCAATTCGTCTGATTGGTTGGAATTGTGAAAATAAGGTATAAGACATAAGATTTTCTGTGTTAAGGGGGGGCTAGAGCCCATTTCATCTATCATGGGGCGAGAGGCAGGGTACACCCTGGACCAAACACCAATCTTTTTTAGGTGTAAATTAAAACTAAGACCGCTAAGACCAAAATTATGAGAAATGGATTCTTTCAACAAAGTGTTTTTGTCAATTAGATGGAAATTTACAGAACATTTTTTCCTCCAAATAAGCTTGGAGTACTTTATAAAGAAATAAACAAATACTTCGTTTAAATTATGTTGTATTTTGTCTTGCCAATCCTTTTCGTCTTTGTATTTGTAAAAAATACTACCTGAACTTGAAATTTTAGAATACTGAATGTATTCAACAACTTTTGTAATGCTAATCGGTCCGAATATATTTGAAAATCCAACATCAGTAGAAAGATTATATTTTACTTGCCATTCATCTGATTTTTTTTATGAGAAAATAGCAAGGTGTCAAATTGTCATCCTCTCTTTTAACACATGGACTATTGAAGGTGTAAATGAGAATATAACCCCCTCTCTGTACAATGTTTGAAAGTTGTTTTAAGGTGTTATCAATCCATTCTATCGCTGCTTCCTCTGAGTGTTTATTAAAAGCTTTTATTCCCCTTGAGGTTGGGATGCATTGTTTGTCAATTTTAAACTTCATAGAAATTATTTCTTTGCAACCATTAATGAAAAGAGCAGCAACTGCATGTTGTTTCTCATCATCACTAACAATCTTCTTTAAAAAACTTCTCCAAAGACCTCTCGTATCGCTTGGTAATCTAACTGGAAGACGGTTAGGGTACAAATGAAAGGAGGTTGACCTCAGTCCATCCCTCTGCCCAGCTTCTTTCCTGTTCAATGATGAAAAATATTAATATAATATAATATAATATAATATAATATAATATAATATAATATAATATAATATAATATAACTTACAGAATCTCACTGATTTTGTTGTACTCCAAACGAACTTGCTGACGGAGCATTGGAGTCCATTTAGAGGTATGTGGAGACTTGTAGAAGGTTTCAACCAAACTGGATGGGAATAAGGAATAAAATTCAAAGCCCTGGTAACCTCTTGACTTAGTACCCATTTTACATTATGTGTAGGCAAAAACTAAAAACTAAATTATAAAAAAATTAAATGAGGCTGAATATAATTTTTAACTTGACAGAACAAATAAAATGTATTGATAATACGAGCAAAGAAAGTCCCTGAAATTGAATAATTTATTTAATGTTTTTGTTTAATACTTACATTATATCGTTGATTATTTTGGTCGTGGTCTACAAAATTAAACTTTTGTCTAATCCAGTGAACTGGCAACAACAAACGATGGCCTGCATAATGAAGAATAAATGCTTATACGTAATATTTATTACAAGGTAGTGAATGTAAAAAGCACTGATATGATAGCAGAAGCACTGGATATTTAAAATATGATCAAAATTACACTTACGTTTGCTTCTTGTAGTGATTTGATGATTTCTGAAAAAAAAATTAAACTATTACAAACTCTCTATATATTCACTAATTTCATTTTGACCTAGTACAGATCTTAATATATTCTATCAGTCCCTAAACTCTTAAAAAATGTGTTATTATCCATACGAGTCATTAAAATACAGATGGATGGATGGAGTTATAAAGACCATGTGTTCTGTATTATATAACAGAACACAGGTCTGAGCAAATATAATCACAAACAGAAAAAATATCACATAGTAATAATCATCAATATCAACAGCCAACAAGCACAGTCGGCAGAATGAAAACATTTATTTATAAACGCCATACACCATAAACACAATTGGCACTATGGTGATAATTCCTCCCACTGATACATTAATGATGTAATGCGTATTACTGGTGTAAGTGATATATTTTTTAAGATTATGTTTCTGTTGCTAAAATCAAATAATCTCTTCAATGTGACATTCTTAAATTCTGTTTCATAAGATTTTAGATGTACAAGCACTTTAACCCTTTGCATCCTTTGCAGTGGATAACTCGACTATCTACCTCCTGCTTTCACCCTGTGCTCATTCTTTATGCTCATACTTTACTTTGGGAAGCAGAGGAGTGGATGAGACAGAAAGGAAACACTTCAATCCCTTAGTAATCAAATCAAACTGAAGATGGTAGTTATTCACTGTGTGAAAGCTAGAATATATAATAATTGCACCAACATACCTCTAAAATCAGAGGAATCATCGCCATCATGGTTGCTGGTGGATGAAGGATTTTCCACATTGTCAGGAGTCTCACTCATCCTCTATAGCTGTGTTCATGTAATGGTTACCGTGGGTATTTATATGTATGTAAAATGCGTAAAGGTGTGTTTTGTTATGCAAGGAATTGCATGAATGAATGGTGCTGGAAAGTTGAGTCTCAGAAGAGGTGTGGAACAATGACTCACAATGACGCAAGCACCAGTTTGTGCTGATGCTCATTTGGATTACACAATAATGGCGGGGTGTATACCTCCAATAGAGAGCAGTATATACAAAAGAAAGAAAAATAAAGACAAAAAACAACATAAATTCACTTTGCATGCTCACTGCTGAGAAGGATGTGCCGTGTACCAATCTTCATGCAGAAATGTGACTGAAAGCCTGAAACACACTTCTTTTAATAGTAATGAATAATGAAAATGTTTACTATTTTCATTATGTACAGCACTTTGGTTCAACCCATGTTGTTTTTAAATGTGCTTATAAATAAATTAGTTAATTAGATACAATTATTGCCCAAAAGCGGCCACAGTCTCTCTGTGCAGGTGACGCTGATTTAACTGTATTAACAGAAGCTTGTGATTTTGCAACAAAATGTTTACATCAATGCGTGTTTGGGTCAGACCAGTGATACTGTGTTTATCTGAAGCATTATGTCTCAGTCTTTTTGTATTACAGAAATAAGAAATGCCATGTTGGTAAATCAAATCTGGACCTTTCAGCATGACTCTTTGGGCTGAAATTTAAAGAAATACATGTGTAAACTTACAGAAATCTATAATTAAATTACTTTGATGTGTTATGAGTAGCCATAATGAGGTGAGGTGCGATGAGGTTAAAGCTAGAAATCAAATACCTGCAGGTTTCTAAGGTTTCCTTTTTCTGGTGGGTGACAATTAAAAAAAATAAAAATCTGATCACTTAGACTTCTGAACCTAAAGAGTGAATGCATTTAAAGACCATGAGAAAACCGTGAATCATAGCAGGATATAAGTACAGAATAAAACAATGGTCTAACAGTTGCTAGGTGTGGCAGGCTGAAGTACATCCTTACGTACAGAAATTCAGTCACTCCCGAAGTTGATGACAAGCAGAAAGCATTTCAGTGAAATCATGTGATACTGTTTAAAATGACAGAGTATTTTTATGTGTTAATCTGAGAGAGCCTCTAAATATGGAGGATCAGAAGAGTCACGCACATTGAAATAAAAAATTCTATATTCATCCATCTATATCGAGTGGTACAGAGGTACCGCCCCTAATCTCCACGCAAAATTGTATAGGTGTGTCAACAAGGACAGCCCTAAAACATCCAGAGCATTCAGGAACCCAGGGCGAACCTCGTGAACACCAGGGCTCCTGCCACCAAGGAGTTGTTCAACTGCCTCAATGACCTCACCCCCAGAGATAAATGAGTCAACACCCTCATCTCGTGGGATTAAGGAGGTCCACAAAATATTCCTTCCACCACCCGACAATGTCCTCGGTCTGCAGTGTTCACAGTGCAGGTAGAGTACCGCATTCCCCTCCTGGGTCGCCTGACAGTTTGCCAGAATCTCTTCGAGGTAGAACAAGAGTCTTTTTGCATGGCCTTTCTGAACTCCCCCACACTCGAGTTTTTACTTCAGCTACGTTCCACTTGGCCTTTTGGTGCCTATGGGCTGCCTCTGGAGTCCCACAGGCTAACCGAGACACATAGGACTTCGTGTTTAGCCTGATGGTTCCCTTAACCTCTGGTTTCCACCATCTGGTTCGGGGGTTACCACCATGACATCTACCAACCACTTCGCAGCTCAGTGGAGCAGCTTCAGCAATGGAGGTGCTGAACATGGTCCATTCTGACATGTCCCCAGTCTCTCTCGGAATGCTGTCAAAGCTCTGCCGGAGTTGTTTAGCTCATGGACCAGGGCCTCTGCAGGCATTTTTAGTGCACCCTCACTAGGTGTGCCAGATCTGTACAGCATCCTCTGTATCTGAATCTGGCACGTGTCTTCACATGAGGATATTACATTTTGGCTTTTCTACACCTTCATTCTGCTCAATTAAACTGTTTTAAACTTTGATAAAACTTTGATAAAATGTGGCAGCTTTGTGTTGTGCTGCAAGTTAAGCCCATTGTCTTCATTTGCACACCTTTTTAAAATCACCTTCTTTTCAAAGTTGATTTTTAGTTTTTATATTTACAAGGTCCAACTAATAGGAGAAATTAAAAATGCAAACAACAAATGAGGGTATTGGGTGTTAGGATGACAATCTATAATCAGTTATGGAACTAACACTCGTGAAAAGTTACTGTTTCACCTATATTGCAAGAACCTTCACTTTCTGTTTTTCAGTTAGTTTCTCTTGGCCATATTCAGTCTTAGCAGCAGCTCTCAGAAGAAAAACTCTGCCAATCATCAGACAAAAAGATTAGTGAGCCAGGTGGTATTCTTGGGAGTTTAAGAGCAAAACTGAGCTCAAACTGTGAATTCACATCAGACCAGGATTCATAAAATGAAAAGAAATCTGCTTGTACGGCCAAACTTCACCAATCGAAGATCAACCACCACGAATGATGAGATGACAGGTGTTCTGACCAGTGCAAAATAAGTGTCTATTAACCATTTCCTTGAAATATAACAATGTATAATTTATTTCTCTAAATTCCATACACCACTTGCCTCTACTTCAAGCTTCCATATTCCATTTCCTAAAGATGATCCCAAAAGGATCTATTACGAACTTACATGATGATACACATTCATTCACATTCACACAAAGTCAAAAAACTGTTTGCTTCTGTCACACCTGAGCACCATTGAACTTAATTAAATGGGTGTGAAGACAGTGCCAAGTAGTGTTACTGCTCCCTCCTTTGCTGACAAGTTGCAATAGCACCAAAAACATAAAATGGCTCTAACACTGCTTAAGTTGGATGATTGTGTTCTCTTGAATGTGTAACTAAACAAGTTTACACAGCTCTTTCAGATTGATTTTAATTTTGTGTTAACAGAATGACGAAATGCAGAGTCAGAGTCAGAGTATAGCTCC